TCACTTTAATAACACTACAAAAGTTTAACATGTTATCTATGTCTCCATATGATATTTTCTGATAAATCAGTGTATAAAATAATGGTTAGCAAATTTATAAGACAGGTCTCAAATCCAGAAAGCATGGATCATGAAGAAAAAATAATGAAGATTAAGAAGTATGCTCCCCTTTAGGGCCTCTAGTACTTTTAACTGTCGTTAGTATGTAAGATGATATTAATATGCATTTTTTCATTTCAGACGCAGAACAAAACAGGTGACAGACAGACTTAATGTCAATTTCATTCATTTTTACTAAGCTGTTATATACAACGCGTAAGATTTTAAATAATTTTAAATATTTTTTTTTAATTTGGTCATACTTCAGGGATAGTCTCATAGAAATGAAATAAAGGGATTTAGATTATTACTTATCTATATGAAATTATAGTATTTGTTCGAAATTGTTATATTCCATAGGCCACTTAAAAGAATAAAATAACGATGCTTAGATTTAATGCATCGAAGAATAGCGAGTAAAGTTCTGACTTCATTAGCTTTTAGTTTTTTTTTATAGAATCAGGATGATAAACGAGCACACAGTACACCTGATGGGAAGCGGATTCTGTGGCCTATAGACATCTACATTTATCCACTTAAAAGGGTAAAATAACGATGCTTATATTTAATGCATCGAAGAATAGCGACTAAAGTTCTGACTTCATTAGCTTTTAGTTTTTTTTTTATAGAATCAGGATGACAAAAGAGCACAGAGTACACCTGATGGGAAGCGGATTCTGTGGCCTATAGACATCTACATTTATCCACTTAAAAGGGTAAAATAACGATGCTTAGATTTAATGCATCGAAGAATAGCGAGTAAAGTTCTGACTTCATTAGCTTTTAGTTTTTTTTTTTATAGAATCAGGATGACAAACGTGCACACAGTACACCTGATGGGAAGCGGATTCTGTGGCCTATAGACATCTACATTTATTTTCAATTAAGAATCAAAATGTACATGCGTTGTCACCCTTGAGGACAGAAATGGAATACCTCGTTTCCAGTAAAAAGGGTCTTCGGTTTTCTTCACTTACCATACGAAACACAATAGCATTAAGCTGCAATTTTACGCTGATTTTCTGTGAGAGCGTTGTTCTACCCCGGTCGAGCCGACCAATTCGTGCTACAGACATAATATAGCTACAGCGTGGCTCTATCTCTTATCACAACTCTCCACGTATAATTCATTGAATCTTTAACGCGTACTTTGTTAAATTATTATGGTTAGCTTTAAAGATTTAAGGAAGTACGCTTAGCTAATCCTACAGTTTTAAAATTTATTTTATTACAGCTGGGCTTTTTTTATAGGATAGGGTGACAAACGAGCACACAGTCCACCTGATGGTAATTGGTTACTGTGACCCATAGACATCTACAGCTATAATCGTTTGCGAATCAAAATGCAGATGCGTTGTCACCCGTGAGGACTAAGATGGAATGCCTCTTTTCCAGTAAATAGGGTCTCAGGTTCTCTGCACTCACTATACAAAACACAGCAGCATTAAGCTGCTATTTTATGCTGGTATTCTGTGAGAGCGTGGTCCTTCCCCGGTCGAGCCGACCCATTCGTGCTACAACTATACCCGAAATATAGCTGCAGCATAGCTCTACCACGTACAAGCTAAGTTACAAATAAATAAAACGACTTCAATAAAACTACACCGTCATTTTTATTCATACAAAATGGTCTTGTCAAAATACTATATACATTATTACATTTTAAAATTTTTGAACGTATTACATGGAGATGGACGTTATTATAAGGTATGAGCACATGTTATAATTTCTGAAATCTAAATAAGGGGGTATATTATAAAGAAGTTAACATTGAAATATGTATTCTGTAATTTCTTAAATTTTTCTACTATATGATTACTATTCAAACATTTCAATGTGTGTTTATAGTCAAATATCAAATTATGAAATGTATAACGCTAACTATTTTAATAATCATAAGGTGTAAAAAATATGTATACAGTATGTATTATTTTACATTTCTTAGCTACATGAATTTTATTCAGTTGAATTAATGTTATTGTTTAGTCATTATAAAGTAGCGAAAGTGAAAGTTATAGGTTAATGCACTTAAGGCTGATTTTGCAAATAAAAAAGAAAATGAATAATGATTTCAACTGTCAGATAAAAGTTATCAATCAACTAAATTATAATCTGATTAAGGGCCGATTTCTCATTCCTCAGAAAAAAAGCTTTCAATCAAATAAATTATAACCTGCCTGAATATAAAATTGAAACAATTGAACTGTTTTATTTATAATTTGCTTGTGTTGTATTATATCCTTATGATAACTTTTATTTGACGATTGAAAATTCCGCCTTAAATATAAAATAAAGCAAATAAAACTCTCAATTTGATTAAAACACTAACACGCAGTAATTTATCCCATGATTAATTTTCATCTTATGATTGATATATCAGCGCTAAATTTAATTAGCTTTGATTTTTATTTATCAAATTATTTACAATTAATAAACATATATAAATTAAATTAATAAAAACATTTAAAAATATAATGAAATTTATATAAGTAATAATAATAAAGAGAGTATTCCATTATTTTTAAAAGCTAGAAGTAAATTGTTTTTAACTAATTTTTAATATTATAATTAAAAGATGCAGATGGTTCAGGATCGTGACAAAGCACGGCATTCCTTGTGGGAGGCCTATGTTTAGCAGTAGCCTTGTGAACGGTTGTAATGACGATGATGATGCTGTGTTTTAAATTTAAAGAAAAAACCATGAAATAAATAAATTATTGCACGTTTTAAACAGGCGTAAGAAATTATTGAAATTAATTAGTGTATTAACATCTGACTGATGTAGTGTTCCGCTGTGCATATTATTTAGCTTTTAATATTTTTAATATTCTCATGATACAGTATCTGTAGACCCAGTTTTCAGTAAAGAAGAAGAGAAAACAATATATCATCCTATTTCTTCCCGTGGGTATCGAAAGAAAAGGCCGGCAACGTATCTACAATTCCCCTGGTTCCCCTGGTGTTGCAGTTGTTTATGGGCGGTAGTCACTTACCATCAGGTGAACCGCATGCTCGTTTGCCCCCTCTCCTATAAAGAAAGAGTTGACAATGAAACATGCCAAAAATATGTTATGGCTTCCGATACATGCCGGTATAATTTTCTAGGTTATGTCAGGCGTAAAATCCCAAGATCGGCGATAGTAAACAGTATCAAAGGTGCGGCAAGTTTCATCATCAAACTGCACTGCAAGCATAGTCAAATCCTCTCTTAAATGACCATGTTCAGCAGTAGAATTTCACGGATTGATGACTTTGAGTTGCAGAAAACTTCAAATAAGGAGCGGAGAAGTACAATTTGCAGGCTTGTTTATAGCATTAATAGTACTAAAACAAATCACTAAAATTTATTAATTTATCCCATATTTTTGATATGGGAAATAGAAAAAAATACTTGGCCAGTAAATATTTGCGTTTTTAATATTTCCTTATCGAAAAATCTAAGGTGGTAAATTGGAACAGTTAGAAATACCGAAATTATATATGTGACAACGGAACCTCAAATATGCTCATACCTTATTATTTATCATCACAAAATACCACATTGCAAGTTTATAATCTTATTAACTGTGTTTTTAATTTAAAAAAAATGTGCATTCTCTTTAAAGGATTTATTGCATTTTTATTCATTAAGCGTTAAGCGTTAATATGATAACATTACATATAAAACATTTAAAACCATTCAGTTCTTTCTACAGTCGATAAAAAAGTGCATATACATACGTGTTGCAATATGGTATTTTTAATATATAACCTGTAACTACTATACTACATTATTTCTGATTATTTACTGTTTCTGAATTGAAAACGCGTGTTGCTATATAACATTTATTCGTTATGTTTAATAAAATTAACACCTAATGAAAAAGTTATCCTATTCATTAGTCAATAATTTACAATTATAAATTATAAAGGTGACTATACACACAATTACGGCTATTATATAATACTGTCAAGTGCTTATAAATGTATAGTTTTAAATTAACATCGACAACGACAAATATTCATTTATTAATAAAATGTCAAGTGAATGGTGATTCAGGTATTTGCACCGAATGTTAATTATTTCCTTAATTTTTACAATAAGTTTTACACATATTTTATAACGTTTAGAGTTTCTTTATCACTTCTTATAAATAAAGCTCTAAGTTTTGTAAAAAGGTTCAGTCATCAGTACTTATAATTTAACAAAAAAATATTGTCAAACAAATAAAAACGTTATTAAATTGGTTTTCTAAAAAAAGGAGAATTATGTTAATATAAAGGTACCATGTTTAAGTGGGACTTATAACAAAAAATAGTGTGTTACTAGACTGTTGACAAAAGAGAATGTGTTGCCTAGCATGTAGTAATAGGCGACTTATGGGATAATGTGTTTATAAAGGTGGGCTAGTCATCTATTACTTATTTTGCAATATTTCATCTACACCCATATTTTTTGGCTAAACGATGTTTTAGTGGCTTGTTGTTCTTTGGACTTTGCTTACCTCTCGGCTATTACAGATTATGTGTATGTATGTATATGTAATGTTGTTACTATTGTTTTAATGGTCAGATAATATTGGAGAGTATTCCTCCCGATGATAGCATTATCAATAGTGGGGTATCTTTCTCAGAGAAATGGTGTTAGGGGTAGTGGTGTTGGAGCGAGAGGTGCTCTTTAAACTAGATAAGACACATTATTTTCATTTTTTACACGAGTCTCAGTCAATTAATTTTTAATATTTTTAATGCAGTAATGTTCAGTTATAATTAAATAAAGGCAAGGAGTTATGATATCCATATTATAAAATATTGTATGTCAACAAGTTTTGTTTCATTGAATTTTTCGTCTATAAAATTCTCTAAACTAAGTGAAGTCTGAATCTCCCATAATATATCTAAAATGAATTAAAATTGACAAGCTATGTAAAGGAAAATGCGATGCAAATGCTCCACGCTACAATGGTTGCCATAGAATGGACCCTTGAACTTGTGTTCATTTCTTGGAATCTAAATGTCTTCATTTCATTTTGAATTGGTATTACTGGATCTATCATATATGGGATTAATTCTGTCATTGTCCTTTTTTCTATAGGACAGGGCAAAGTTTCTGGTGGTATTTTTAACACTGTTCTTTTTACTCCTTTCTTTGCTGATGGTATAATGATATCGTTCACGTGTTCTTTAGATATATCTTCTGCTGTAGTTTTCTTATCAGTTATGTTATTTTTATCTATGGTTTCAATTGTTATCCCAGCGTGTAATATTTCCTTGTTAAAATCTAATTTACTGTCAGTATCATCCATGTTGTTGTAAGCGGAACTAACGATGGGTGGGTCAATCTTGCAAGTGACACTCTCTAGTGACTCCTTTGTGCTCTGACTTTTTGTTTCATCTCGGAGCGTGTGCATCCATTTCAGTCTGCAGTCACATACGAAACTGTTTTCTGTAATGATAAGATAAAAAATAAACTCGTTTAATAAATAAATACAATGAATAAAATTGTTCAAGTGTGTCAGCTTAATTATTATGTTCGTCTATTTTGATACGGTAAATGATAGCAATTTAAAAGTATATATTTGGAAAAATACATATAGATCCATATTTTTTTTTTAATTTACCATTTACTCAAGCATGATATTGTTTGAGCGAACTATTATTTTTGAGTCTACTAGCCTAGTTTAAGGAGACTTAACCAGAATTTTATAATATATAAATATTTAGACTGTATATTTACCAAGAATATCTTGCTGAACAGTATGATATAGAAATAAAATTATCCTACGTTCAAAATTAAACTTGTGTGTGTCTGTTAACCTCTAAGAATGTATTTATAATACTCTTCTTAAGTTTTTATTAACATTACAGATATAATTGTTTTGAAACTCGTTTCAAGCTTTTTTATTAATCAACATTAGCTAGCAGTCGCCAAAATAATAAAATCCTACTCAAATCAGTTGTCGTGGATCTTTATCCGTCGGCAATATTTTTTTTTCCTCGGTAAATAATATCTCATTTAAAATTAATATAAATAACAATAATATTAATAGATTCACTATAAATCTAGGCACCTTAATCATATCATAACTAGAAAATAAAAGACTGTGGTTGCCAATCGGCCTGCCAAGCGGTGGAGGAGCCTGTGGACTTTGATAGGCTGTAATAAATAAATCAATGAATTATCATTGCTAAGTGAAATTATAAAAAAAAAAACACTAATTTAATTTGCCAACCATTTGCAATTGAATTACATGTCCAAGAATATGAATAGTGGACAGCAATTTTACAAAATATGAAACTTCCTTCCATCGAAAAATTTCATCGAATATTTGTAGATGTGAATTTGCATCTGTGTATCGCGTATATTTTTGGCAAACTATTTTTTATTCAATGGTAAATATCTAATTACAAATTGTCGCTATGTTTAAAAAAAGTGACTGCATAGTCTATACTTTCAATTAGGATTGAAATATATAGTAAAAGCCTGTAAATCCTTCTTACATGAACTCAGAATAATGCAATCAAACTTATAGGTTAAAACTGTATTTCAATTTCCGAAGTTCTTAGTTTAATTTATTAAATTTATTAGTGTCTTACGTCGTTACGTTTAAAATACACAATTTTTAATAAAGGGAATTTAAAAATATAAAAGAAATATTTTTGTTACTTAATAAAACAACAGAACTCTTTAATTTAAAACTATCGGCTGTTTTTGTTTGCATATATCAATATAACATCTCAAAAACTTTACTTGAAACTTTGCACTCATTGCTTGCTTGAAATCGAATGATGAATGCTTAAAAGAAAATCCCGTAAAAACTTAAGTAAACTTAATTCAAGTTGGAAACGGCAGTTTATAATATAACTTTATTGCCGTTGAATAACTCCTGAAAACTCTATTCGGAATTTAACAAAGTAATATCATGTTGTTTACGTTGAATATCAATAAATTAAGCAGCACACTAAAAGGACACGAAATTGAGTCTTTTTAAATATGCTTTTGTAACAATAATTAGTATACATGTAGTTCAAAATGGTATTTTGCTTTTATAATGATAAGTTTTATTCATCCTATAAGTCTAACAATGGGCACAGAAATTAACCAGACTAAAAAGGTTAAAAAAATTACCATAAATAAACAATTGTTTGCAACCTATGCACATTAAATATTCAAAATAAATTTTAAATGCATTAAAATCTACAGTAAATTAATAAATATTAGTTATTACCTTCTAAGAGTAAATTGCTTGATGGTGGCTTCAAGTTATCCAATATGGGCTTGATGTTATCGTAAGTTAAGGCGCGTAGTTCGTTAGAACGCAAATCGAGAGAGCTGAGACCCCTTACGCCTTCAAATAAACCAGAGGGTAATGCCGCAAGTTTATTATCATCAAGGGATAGTTTCCGAAGTTGAGATAGTCCATCAAAAGCCCTTTCGGAAATATATTTTAAGTCGTTTTTTCCAAGCAGCAATTCTTGCAAATTCCATAATTCAGCGAAAGTAAACTCAGTTAAGTTATAAATATGATTCCTTCTGAGGTCAAGCTTACGCAGGTTAGCTAGTCCATCGAATGTGTGACGATTTAAGTGCTGTATATTATTTTTATTTAAATCCAGTTCCAGTAAATTAAAAGTATGTTGAAATGAACCGTCCTTTATACGTGATATGTTGTTTTTTGTGAATGTCAATTTCTGTAACTTTGGCAAATCAAAGAATGAGTCTAGTCCTATTTCCACAATCATATTGTCTTCTAAATTTATCATTGTAAGGTTAGGTAAATGTGCAAATGCGTATTGTTGTATTATTTCTATCTGGTTCTGCGACAAAGTTACCTCTTTTAAGTAAGTTAAATTCGCAAATGCAAAAGTTCTGACATCAATGATGTTCCCATATTTAATGTTAATGGATCGGAGTCTTTGTAAGTACTGGAGTGCCTTTGTGGGCACGTAGCCTAGTGCACCATCGACTCGAACGTTAAATGACAAAGTTTGTAAAGTTGGTTGTGAAGCGAAGCTTTGCCAGATATAATCATCAGACGGTATTCCGCCATTAAATACCCAGCATTCTGCTTTCGTAGCATTCCTTGGTTCTCTTGCGTTCTCACAATAGCAATGAACTTTTGAATCACGATCAGTTATGTCGCAAATATTTTTTTGGAAACCACCTGCTTTTTCTTTGGACCGTCTCTTATTGTTATCTCTTGCTTGTACTGTTGACATCTCATTTACTAGTGCAATAGTAATAAATATGTACATAATCCTGGTGACTCTTTCCCCCATTTTTATTTAATCTGTAACAAAAAAAATCATTTTAATAAGCAATTCTGCTTCTATAAATGATAGTTATTAAAAAAAAAACTTAAATATGAACGCAACCTGGAATGTCTTATTAATATGTCAAAATGACATTTATATATACCGGTAGTATAAGCTAAAAAAGAACTATTTTTAATTTCAGCGAATTATTATTAGTACGTATTATCTAAAATAGAACAAGGTAAGATTAAAATATAACAATAAAATAATTTATAAAGAAATAGGTTAATGTAGTATAATATGTATGCAAATATTTTTATACTTGATAATAGGTTTATAATATAATTGGTCTTTACCTATGAAATTGCGAATTCTTATTTCAAAAATAGTAATTTGTTTATTGATTAGCGTTATGTTTTCATCGCATTGTAATCTTTTTCGTCATTATGGACCCTTTAAAAATTCGAGTAATTATGGAATATGAATACCGTCGTGGCAGCAACTCGGTGAGTGTAGAGAATCGAAAACGTTGTTTGCTAGAACCGGGGCATTCCATCGTAGTCCTCAGGGTGACAACCTATCTGCATTTTGATAATTGATCGAAGATAAATGTAGATGTCTATGGAACACAGCATTCATTTACCATCAGGTGGACTGTGTGCTAGTTTGTCAATCCCATTCCATAAAAGTAAGGCATCACGACTATAATCGCCGAGGGGTAGCCAGGATCCAGATAGTGCTGAGCCATTTAAACCATGTTTAGTCAAAAATATGCGTTTAAATGGGAAAAAAATTAGTATTTGATTATATTAAATTTAGTTGAATTGCCAATAGCCAGCTGTATTGTGGCGGCATAAGAGAATCTACCACCCCTTTTTATCCCTTGGGTTTCGTAAGGGTTGATTAGCAGAAGCTTCTTAATAAAAACTGAAATAATAACTGCGTTTGCAAACCCACCTGCCAGTACGTGGCAACTGTGACAAATATCCTCCCCTATGAGCCAATCTTTATGCTAGGCCTATCTATATGAATAATGAATAATCGAATTAATGAATGGATATAAATGTTTGGTTACGGTGATTTTTGGTTATTTGTTCGCAGCAGTATGTGTGTTAAAGTATGTAAGTATTTTAAAGTGTACGCAATTTCTGTCAGCCAGGTGAGTTAGTTCATCAACAAGGTTTAACGTCATGTAAAAATCAGTGACCTAGTCATAAATATTGACCGACTTACCGACCTTAATATTGGCTTTTAGTAATATACATCAAGAATTTTCAAAGTTATAATTCAAATTTAGAAAATCAAAACAGACACTGATTACGTAAACGGATTTTTAAATCACAATAAAACACACCTTCGATTTAAAATCGGATGGCTCCGTGATGCAGTGGCTTATCATTGAGTTGCATTACTGGAGGCCGCGGGTTCGAATCCCGATCAAAAATATTTATACTAACCTGAACAATTATTTCATCTACAAATAATTTTTCCGGGTCTAGATGATTGTCCTTGTGTAATTTATATTTCTAAACGTTTTGTAAGAGAGGAAAAAGGTATATACATGTTTTCATTATTATTAACAAGATTTAAATTGAACGTTATATTATATAATATACGTTAATGTAGTAAATCACAATTCAAATTTATTGCAAAATATCCCATTTCCTTGATATCATTAGAATATAATATTCTTTAGATACAGGTATAATAAATTAACTAAGGAATGTCCCATGTACCTACCCACTGCAGTGGATTTTATTTGGAGGATATCTTTCCTTCTATTTCTCAGTACACGAAAATACACAACTCAAAATTACACGTAATAAAAATAAAAAGCCGCCTGCCACGAGACACAAATTCTAGTGATCTACTTCGTATACTTTATAAGTTTTCATTATCTCTACATTTTGAAATGAACTGGATAAAAACTACAGATTAAAAAATAAATCACTTTGTCTCACTTAAACCGGAGTTATATTTCTGCAGTAACATGAAAGATTTTATGGCATGATGCTTCGGTAGAATTTAAATTACAAAGTTGTAAACTTTGTTACAATGGCACACAAAAGAAACTTGCAATCGACTTCTGGTGCACCAGCCAAGCTTGTTGAGCGGCTTACTATATTTTAAGTGCAATTGTACTTAAAATTATAAAGTTAAAATCAAGTTGCAGCCTATTTACGTCCCACTGCTGGGCACAGGCCTCCTTTTATTTCTGAGAGAGTTTTAGGGCAAGGAAATGTCCACCACGCTGCCCCAATGCGTGTTGGTGAACTTCAAATGTCTTCGAAATATAGTTTTTTCTTATTTCTCAGACATGCAGGTTTCTTCACGATGTTTTCCTTCACCGCCGAGCACGTGGTAAATCAGCACTTAAAATTGCAATTAACAATTTCATTGGTGCCGCCGGGGATCGAACCAAGGTTACTCGAGTACTGTGAAGGTTACAACGAGCGCTAACCATCTAAGCTACCACGGCTCTACTTAACATTATAGACTATAGTTTATTAGATCATGCTTATTCAGTCAGCTATCTAACCCTTCTAATAGTGAGAATTGTTCTCCACTAGAGCTTCAAATTAATAGAAATTCCGAAAAATACAGTCTTAATTTCAAAATCCAAATTAATAACTTGTAAAAAGCATGCATACGATAATTTATAGAGTTTTCTATAGTTCCATATTTAAATACAGGGATAAACTCAAAGTGCTGCATTCAATTAGAAAACTCAACAAAATCAATACAAAGTTCAAAAGTCATCGGTATCGCAAAAATTAGGGCTATATTAAATTAAATCATAAAATCAATTATCCGGATTGAAAACCCCATAATTTTTCGTTTGAATTAATAGAAATTTAACTTTAAATATTTAATTCACATTCAGTTACATTTTACTAAGAGTTTGAGATGAAACATTACAAGTTACAAGTGATGGAATTAATGTCAAACGACATTTATTCGCCTTTATCGTACCTTTATGTTAAGCAGAGAAAAATAATAGTTGAAAAGTGTACAAGCAAAAAATAAAATCTTTAAAATAATTTCATAAGTATATAATTTATATAATACATATTATCCACAAACAGAATATGAGAGATGCACACGTAAATTATCATCTTCTTCATTAGAGCCCTTCACAAGCCCACTGCTGAACATAGGTCTCCCTCACTAAATGGAGTGACGACCTGACAAGACATGCAGGAATGGATGCAGGTGGATCAGGACCGTACTTTGTGGATGTGTATGATGAAATAGTGTCTTTTTTTGGAATTAATACGTTTCAGCGAGTTTTGCTAATATACTTGTAAACTTTTTGAGCTATAACAGTTACTACTGAGTTTACTTATGAGTGGGACTTAAAGCTAAAGAAAGCTAGGAGTATGGTATTGGTAGTGCTTAATTATCAATAATAAAATATTTTCTTTATTGCATACATTAAAGAACCGGATTATTTGGATGTAGAAGCCCTAAGTTCGTTGCGATGCTGCTCCGACTACTATCGCGTCAACATACGGTGAGACCAAAATGAGAAACACCGTGAGACATCGCTTCGTGTATCATGTCACAGATTTTATTGTATGTCAGGCGTTCAGGCGTTCACTGTTCACCGTTGCGTCGGCGGCGTCTTCTTGTGGCTATGTTCTTAGATGGACTCTTGACTGTAATGCGACACGTGCAGTCATATATGCACGATCGTTTAATTGTATTGATTGTTGGAAATGGTATGCAAACTATGTGCAGACATTTGATTAACAATTATTTTAAACTTTTTAACACAATCGGTACAACTGACATGCACGCATGACTATCTTTTTATTGGCATATCATGCAACAGCTCATTTCGTTCCAAAACCAGTTGAATGATGGACATGGATAGCGCACTGCAAGACTACCACGACCTCGTAAGTGCTAGCTAGCTCAAAATGATAGGAAAATCTTATTGTTATTAATTTGAATGTATAAAGATTGTCCAAAATTATAAGTTAAGAAAATAAAGGGACAAAACGAGAGAAACATCATTTCTTTAAACAAAATGTTAGCTTTGATAGCAGTAAAGTCTAGATCTCTTTTGTTTTTTGCTACACAGTAAGATTTCTTTCTTTTTTCTTTTTTAAAAAACGTTACCACCACACTAGGATTTTCTCCTGTATCGTGGAGGCAGTTTACAAACACACATTGCACAAGGACAAACATCCAGACACGGAACAATTATTTGCAAGCCATACTTGTTCCGTGCGAGATTCGAACCCGCGGCCCCCAGCGCAGCAACTCATTGCTAAGCCACTGCGCCACGGAGCCGTCAAAAAGACATAAATAGACTATATTGCTCTCTGAGTTACGAGTACATAAATATGTATTTTGTTTTACACAACTTACTGTTGTGGCGTCACGACAAATATTGCTTAATAAGCGCTCAATATTGGCGCAGTGTAGTCAGCATTTAGTGCATCCAAATGTGTCGACCAATCGTCAACAACCTTATGGAGTTTTTCTTCTTCATCCCGCAAAAGCAATGCCAGATGCCTCGTAAGTTTTAAGCTGTTTCTCGTTGTTAGAATTTTTAAAGTAAGCGTAAGCGAGATGACTAAACCAATATCTATCAGGAATCTTGAAATCCTTCTAGCCTTTTATCATTTCTTATGTAACGCATGGAAAGAAAAGCGGCGATGGATTCTTCTACGCCGTCACCAGACCGGCTTACAGTGTTGACCTATTTTATTGTTTTTAATTAAAGATATAAGACTTAATTTGACATCATCATCATTCATTATGTGTGTAAAAATTTGGAAAATGAACAACACTATTAAATACACAGTTTATAAACATACACCGTCTTGTACATAACTTCACAGACATTTATTTCTTAATCAAATTTATTAGTTATTTTCTTTTAGTGAAAATTATTCGTAGCTGGACATGATTTTTAAACCAAATTAAATCGACATGGAGATAACTATGCGCAAAAGCTTACAGTAGTATTATGAACAGATCTGGAAAGATATTATGCAAAGAGAGTTCGGACA